GAAGGAATGTCCCCATTTAGACAGCTGAGTAAACTTGTGTGTGTGTGTGTGTGTGTTTTCCACGAGCAGCTGAGCTGTGGGGTTGTGGGGGATTTGGATCAGATGGTTAATGAGCTCAAGGGTCTCTCTTTCGGGCTTTGCTCCAAAACTTAATAAGCTGCCTAACTAGAGGCTTTTGAAGAAATTAGGCATGAAGGTTTCCCAAAAGCAAGAGAGAAGTCCAGTTCCAGTGGAGATGCTGACTCTAGCATTGAGACGTGTTTGAGACGTGTTTCCCGTTCACTCCAGCGGCCTCGTGTGTAAAACCTGCAGAACATTTCATCCCAAAAGTGTGTGTACTAACAAAAGTACACAATCCCTTTAAAAAATCCCAGTTACATAACCCCCAAATGACATATATGAGCTCACGACTCGTGTTACTACTGTATGCATATCCTCATCTGCATATCATTTGCATATTCGGATATTCCCATCTGTGACCATGTTTAGTAAAAAATATGAGATATGGACTATGTGCTGTCATTTTACATTACTAAACATCATTCAGTATCCTTGCCTTGTTTTAATAGAAATTAATACAAATTGCATAAAATTCATTTCAGAGATCTATGTAGATCTATTAGGATATTTTTAATTGTATCAAGCAAATCAGATTTCGGCTTTTTTGCCTGTAAGGGAATCATATTTTAGGATGTCAAAGTCTGTCCTTCAAATATAATGGAATTGTTCATAATATTGGGAATATTGTGTGTGTGTGTGTGTCATCTGACTTCTTGAAACCAGCCGTTCAGTGTGTGTCACCCTCGGTGTTGCTAAGCCACACATCTTCTCAGAAGACGGTTCTGCTATTTATAACACAAGTTAAAGCTGAATCACCATGCGTCGAGCTCCTCGCTGTGGCTAAAGCAGTAAAACACAGCATGTTGTAGCTTCTTTTAATGAATTAGTTTCTGCTCTGACAGACGCAAGGCCAGCCGAACGCTGTGAGTGTGTGAACATTGTGTTTGATACGTGTTTTATCCTCAAACCGTGTGTCTCCAGCCGGCAGTTAAACCAGCAAATCACTACGGTTTTAACAGACTGTGTGTTTCTGTCTGGTTAATTTTGACTTGTAGTGTTGTTGTTGTTTGTTTTACAGTTGGGTCCACACTAAAAGTTGAGGCAAACTCAGTGAAAGCATTCACATAATCTTCTTACCAAATCTCCAAAACTACAAGCACATTATCTGCTTTATATACTCAGTTTGAAATGGCACAACAAGCTCTTTTCGAAACACACATTAGACACTTTATTAAATTGTGTTTCGCTTGAAAGCCCAATCTGTTGACTCAAGGCCAAACTATACTTCACTTTTGTATTATTTCAAACATTTTTGTGAAATTTTGGCCTAAAAATGTGCTTGAGCTAACTGTCCTTAAATATAGTAAAATTTGGTGAAGTGTCAAAATTTGATCACCAAAATTATATATTTAAAATTAGAGCCAGACCGATATTATCGGCCGATATTATCGGCCATTTTTTTCCAAAATATCGGTATCGGCAGTTATAATGGCCGATAAATGAATATTTCAAAAATAAAATAAAAACAGAGGAAACACGCTTGAACCATGTCATGAGTGTTGGAGTTGTATAGTTTGTCCACCAGAGGGCGCTCTACACCGTTCCTGTCGGCAACACTCGTTGAGTTGGTCACGAGACATACATCGCTTGAATAACAATTAAAAGATCATCCCCATCAGTTCCCTTAACTCAAATAAGCATGACAAAATTTGTGACTATCGTGTCCAGTTTAAAAAAAAATAATCGGCCGATATATCGGAATATCGGATTTTAAAACCCCAAAAATATTTGTATCGTATCGGCCTTCAAAATCCTTTATCGGTCGGGCTCTAGTTAAAATATCTTGATTGTAACTCGACACCCTTCACCTCATTTGGCATGTGTGGTTCTATGAATATGCAAATGAGCCCCGCCTCCACTCACTCACTCACTCTGGTTGACGATCACACGTTGATCTGATTGGTTACAAGGTGGTTTGTGACGTCAGAAACACCAAAGCGTGTTTTTGAGACTGTCTTTGGTTCACTGCAGTTTTAAGGAGCAATGCTGTCCACTTATGAATGGTTTGTCTTAAAGTGTATTAAAAACACCACATGAACACATAAACAACATTAAACGCTGGATTTACACCACAGGGGGACTTTTTTAAGATATGCTCTCGGTTAAAAACGCTCAAACATGCATTTTAGTCCGGGACTAGACTTGCAACTAGCAACTGGGGTTGCATTACACAAACTTGACTTAATGTTTGAAAGAGTTATATATAGTGAGAGAAATTACATTGGTTACTGAACAGATTCAGGAGGATGTTGTATTAATCCAATGATCTACAGTTAATGTGAGAAAGGAAGTGGTCTCATCATTGTGAACAGGATTTCAGCTCGAGCTCTTGTGAGCACAGAGGATCCTTTGGTTGCTCCTCATTGACATTCCAGGCTCTTCTGAGGGATTGTTGCAGGATTTCCTGAAAAAGCTGTTCAGGGCTGATGCATGTTCTGCGAGTTTGCCATCATCTGATCTTGCAGTATTGGTCTGTCCTTATGATGAGCATTTGAGTTCACTGTAGACAGATGACAGGACAGAAGCCTTTGAATCGGGTGTTTTACTTTTAATTACAGTGTTTTTAAACTCCCATAATTAGGGATGAACCAATACGAACATTTTGGCCGATACCCATAACCGATAATTCTTTATATTTGAAAGCCGATAACCGATATATTTTTGAAGAACCTGATTACAAAATCATTAGTCTAGACATGTACCAAGCACACAATTATAATGGTGTTCTGATTATAATTTTATGTAGCCGATATGACACATTTTGGCCGATACCGATAACCGATAATTCTTTATATTTGAAAGCCGATAACCGATATATTTTTGAAGAACCTGATTACAAAATCATTAGTCTAGACATGTACCAAGCACACAATTATAATGGTGTTCTGATTATAATTTTATGTAGCCGATATGAACATTTTGGCCGATACCGATAACCGATAATTCTTTATATTTGAAAGCCGATAACCGATATATTTTTGAAGAACCTGATTACAAAATCATTAGTCTAGACATGTACCAAGCACACAATTATAATGGTGTTCTGATTATAATGTTATGTAGCCGATATGACACATTTTGGCCGATACCGATAACCGATAATTCTTTATATTTGAAAGCCGATAACCGATATATTTTTGAAGAACCTGATTACAAAATCATTAGTCTAGACATGTACCAAGCACACAATTATAATGGTGTTCTGATTATAATGTTATGTAGCCGATATGACACATTTTGGCCGATACCGATAACCGATAATTCTTTATATTTGAAAGCCGATAACCGATATATTTTTGAAGAACCTGATTACAAAATCATTAGTCTAGACATGTACCAAGCACACAATTATAATGGTGTTCTGATTATAATTTATGTAGCCGATATGACACATTTTGGCCGATACCGATAACCGATAATTCTTTATATTTGAAAGCCGATAACCGATATATTTTTGAAGAACCTGATTACAAAATCATTAGTCTAGACATGTACCAAGCACACAATTATAATGGTGTTCTGATTATAATGTTATGTAGCCGATATGACACATTTTGGCCGATACCGATAACCGATAATTCTTTATATTTGAAAGCCGATAACCGATATATTTTTGAAGAACCTGATTACAAAATCATTAGTCTAGACATGTACCAAGCACACAATTATAATGGTGTTCTGATTATAATGTTATGTAGCCGATATGACACATTTTGGCCGATACCGATAACCGATAATTCTTTATATTTGAAAGCTGATAACCGATATATTTTTGAACAACCTGATTACAAAATCATTAGTCTAGACATGTACCAAGCACACAATTATGATGGTGTTCTGATTATAATTTTATGTAGCCGATATGACACACTTGCGCTTCACTGTATTTTCCTTATTTGAAGCAATTCAAACCCATCATGTTGAACAGTGCACATCTGGAGGAAATAATACAGTACTTATCGACTTCAATATATTGGACAAATGTTCTTATCGGGCTGATATCCATAACATTAAAAATGATCATATATCGGCCGATACCGATAACCGATAATCGTTTATAATTGAAAGCCGATAACTGATATATTGGCTGATTTATCTAAATCCAAATGTTTATATCAGTTTTGAGAGCCTGATTATAAAATCCATGAAGCCATGTCCCAAACACACAAGTATAACGTTCTCATGATAACTGTATGTAGCCGATATGACAGACTTGCGCTGTACATGTTGCACTGACCTGTATTTTCCTTATTTGAAGCATATATTAATGTATTGGACAAATTTTCTTATTGGGCCGATATCGATAACATTACAAATGAACATATATCGGCTGATACCGATATTTATTTATTTATTTATTTATTTATTAGTTCTTGCCATTTTACAACATATTATTTTATTTCCATGAACGCAAAAAAAAGGAACAGGAAGAAGAAAAAATCTTGTAATACCTGTCCCTATTTGTGCCCAGTAAAAAAAACTGAAAAAACAACAAATACAGCTGCTTTATGAATGGATCAACCCCAATCCTCACCTCAATCACCAGACGTTTTCAGTAATACCTATCTATAGCTACACTTAATTATCATCATTTTCCTGATGTAACATTCCTGTATTTTTTTTCTTGTACAAATTCCTAAATTTACACACACTTTTGCAACACTTCAGTTCATAGTCCATGTCAGATATACACAGATATATTGTCCATCCCTAACCAAAAGTGAATAAAACTCTCTGAAACAGTGTTTTTGAACCTTTTACAAGTCAGTGTGGCCTAAATGTTCTTTAGAAGCTTAAATAAAGTCATATTATGCTGAAATGGTTTTTAAACTGGCTTCAGTTTGAGTTGTGTCGATGTGATGGTGTGCTTTGGCCTGCAGGGATTGAGCTGTGTCTTCCGGGTTGGCGTTTCTCCATGACCATGGTGGCCAACTTCATGGTGTTGGCGGGTCAGCTGCTCATGCCCGGACTCGCTGCCCTCTGTCGGGATTGGCAGATTTTGCAAGTGGTTATAATCTGCCCACTCTTACTCATGCTGTCCTACATCTGGTGAGTGCCGCTGCCCTTCTTCCAACCAACATCTCACTGTTGATTTCAATTGTGTTTGCGTTTACAGCAATACTGCAGCAACTGAAGCGAGCAGCAAACACGTCAGTGCACTACTGTTTCCACACTTCATTAAGCACATCTATCGGTTTCAAATACGTTTCAAAACAAAGAACCAAATTAGCACATTAGGAGGATTAGATAGCACAGCGTACCTTTAGCAGTCTGGAGGATACGGGGCTTAAAAGCCTAAAAATAAAGTACTTCAACAATAACAGTGATTTTTTCACACACAAGCAAACTTTTTCAGGTTCTAATGTCGTATAAACAAACTATTTACCATCAACCATTATTCATTTAACTGTTCAATAACGGCGATGTGTTAAATCATGCTAGCAACATGTTAAAACATGCTAGCAATGTGTTAATTAATGTTGGAGACATGCTACAATGTGTTAAATCATGTTAGCAACATGCTAAATCATGTTCGAGACATGCTACAATTTGTTAAATCATGCTAGCAACATGTTAAACATGCTAGCAATGTGCTAATTCATGTTCGAGACATGCTACAATTTGTTAAATCATGCTAGCAACATGTTAAAACATGCTAGCAATGTGTTAATAAATTTCGGAGACATGCTACAATTTGTTAAATCATGCTAGCAACATGTTAAAACATGCTAGCAATGTGCTAATTCATGTTCGAGACATGCTACAATTTGTTAAATCATGTTAGCAACATGTTAAAACATGCTAGCAATGTGTTAATTAATGTTGGAGACATGCTACAATTTGTTAAATCATGTTAGCAACATGTTAAAACATGCTAGCAATGTGCTAATTCATGTTCGAGACATGCTACAATTTGTTAAATCATGTTAGCAACATGTTCAAACATGCTAGCAATGTGTTAATTAATGTTGGAGACATGCTACAATTTGTTAAATCATGCTAGCAACATGTTAAAACATACTAGCAATGTGCTAATTCATGTTCGAGACATACTACAATTTGTTAAATCATGCTAGCAACATGTTAAACATGTTAGCAATGTGCTAATTCATGTTCGAGACATGCTACAATTTGTTAAATCATGTTAGCAACATGTTAAAACATGCTAGCAATGTGTTAATTAATGTTGGAGACATGCTACAATTTGTTAAATCATGCTAGCAACATGTTAAACATGCTAGCAACGTGCTAATTCATGTTCGAGACATGCTACAATTTGTTAAATCATGCTAGCAACATGTTAAAACATGCTAGCAATGTGCTAATTCATGTTCGAGACATGCTACAATTTGTTAAATCATGTTAGCAACATGTTCAAACATGCTAGCAATGTGTTAATTAATGTTGGAGACATGCTACAATTTGTTAAATCATGCTAGCAACATGTTAAACATGCTAGCAATGTGCTAATTCATGTTCGAGACATGCTACAATTTGTTAAATCATGTTAGCAACATGTTAAAACATGCTAGCAATGTGTTAATTAATGTTGGAGACATGCTACAATTTGTTAAATCATGTTAGCAACATGTTCAAACATGCTAGCAATGTGTTAATAAATTTCGGAGACATGCTACAATTTGTTAAATCATGCTAGCAACATGTTAAACATGCTAGCAATGTGCTAATTCATGTTCGAGACATGCTACAATTTGTTAAATCATGTTAGCAACATGTTAAAACATGCTAGCAATGTGTTAATTAATGTTGGAGACATGCTACAATTTGTTAAATCATGTTAGCAACATGTTAAAACATGCTAGCAATGTGCTAATTCATGTTCGAGACATGCTACAATTTGTTAAATCATGTTAGCAACATGTTCAAACATGCTAGCAATGTGTTAATTAATGTTGGAGACATGCTACAATTTGTTAAATCATGCTAGCAACATGTTAAAACATACTAGCAATGTGCTAATTCATGTTCGAGACATACTACAATTTGTTAAATCATGCTAGCAACATGTTAAACATGCTAGCAATGTGCTAATTCATGTTCGAGACATGCTACAATTTGTTAAATCATGTTAGCAACATGTTAAAACATGCTAGCAATGTGTTAATTAATGTTGGAGACATGCTACAATTTGTTAAATCATGCTAGCAACATGTTAAACATGCTAGCAATGTGCTAATTCATGTTCGAGACATGCTACAATTTGTTAAATCATGTTAGCAACATGTTAAAACATGCTAGCAATGTGTTAATTCATGTTCGAGACATACTACAATGTGTTAAATTAGGCTAAAAGTCATGTAAGCAAAATACTAATCATGCAAAAAGCATGATAAAACATTTTATCATTGTGTTAAATGATATTAACAAAATGACAAAAAACATGATTATGACTGGAGACTCATCTCATACATGCATATATGTTACAATATTTTGCTCTTTGTTTGTTGATGTTAGTTAATGTCAACAAATGAGACCTTAATGTAAAGTGGAACCAGAGACGATATTTATCATCATATGACACATGGAAGCACTTCATTCTTTACTTGATTCAGCGATGTGTGTTTGGTCCAGATTCGATTAGGTCTGTGCCTGTTTTATGTTGTGATCATAATAAAGTAAAGTATATCCTTCATGCTCCAGGATTTTCCCAGAATCTGTGCGCTGGCTGCTTGCGACTCAGCAGTACAGCCGCTCTAAATGGATCTTGGAGCGCGTCGCCACGAAGAACGGCATCGATCTAGAGCATGATGCTGAGGAACTCATGACAGGTACTCAACCAATGACAATACAGATGATTTATAATGTGCAAAATATATTCAATAACTAGTGAAGCCAACTTTTACAGCTATAATATAACAGCCACCTGTTTCAATCTAGGATATACATTAGAACTAAGCAAAATATGAAGAAAATTTGCTGAACTAAATCGGAAAAATTGTAAAATGCCTGAAAGCAAGCCAATCACAAGTACATTGTCCACGTTCAGCTATTAACAAGTAAAAAAATTGGATTTTAACGATAACTAGGTTGGACCACGCTGACCGATAACCGATTAATTAACCAATAGTGGATTTTACCGATAACGATAACTAGATTGGACCACGCTGGCCGATAACCGATTAATTAGCCAATAGTGGATTTTAACGATAACTAGGTTTGACCACGCTTACCGAAAACCGATTAATCGTCCCATAGTGGATTTTAACGATAACTAGATTGGACCACGCTGGCCGATAACCAATTAATTGTCCGATAGTGGACTTTAATGATAACTAGATTGGACCACGCTGGCCGATAATCGATTAATCGTCAGATAGTGGATTTTAACGATAACTAGGTTGGACCACGCTGACCGATAACCGATTAATCGTCACATAGTGGATTTTAACGATAACTAGGTTGGACCACGCTGACCGAAAACAGATTAATCGTCACATAGTGGATTTTAACGATAACTAGGTTGGACCACGCTGACCGATAACCGATTAATCGTCACATAGTGGACTTTAATGATAACTAGATTGGACCACGCTGGCCGATAACCAATTAATTGTCCGATAGTGGACTTTAATGATAACTAGATTGGACCACGCTGACCGATAACCGATTAATCGTCACATAGTGGATTTTAACGATAACTAGGTTGGACCACGCTGACCGATAACCGATTAATCGTCACATAGTGGATTTTAACGATAACTAGGTTGGACCACGCTGACCGAAAACAGATTAATCGTCACATAGTGGATTTTAACGATAACTAGGTTGGACCACGCTGACCGAAAACCGATTAATCGACCGATAGTGGATACTAACAAAAACAAGGTTGTTAACCTAATATTTAATTTTAATACACAATTTTCAAATATTTTACTCTGTTCAAAGAAAGATAAAAAATAAAGCGATGATTGCTTTTAACGTTTATAATAATTCTGGTCGTGTATAAAGTAGCTCTGATGTAATGAGGTCACAGGTGTATGTTTGCAGAGTAATTACAACAACTTCATACGTGGCTCAACCAATCAGAATCAAGGACCAGGACTTTCCGTTTTATAAAGACTACTTTATGTCTTATGTTCCCGTAACAGGAAAATGAGCGGATGACATACACAGCTATTATTCGATACATAATTTGAAGAGGGTAAAAACTTACAGAGGAACATTGAGGAAATGAAGAGTTTGCTGATAAAGTTATCACTATATGAGCTCAGAACAATGTTTTTGGCCCAAAGCATTGCAGCTATGACCACCAAACTCGCCTCCACCGTTCCAGAATGCATTTCAATGTCCTAAAGAAATAATTCAGCATTATTTATTCACCTTGTTCAAAACCGGTATGGCTTTCTTCTGTGGAACATAAAACCGGTTTGGCTAACCGTACATATCTGGTTTCTGCATTTTAGCAGTCAGGCCGGCGTCTGCGCAGGTGAATGTTGCTTGCACAATATAAAGTCAACATTGCAGTGTTTATGCCAGTGTAAACACTCGAGAAGCCATGGTGACTATCAGAACACAGCAGATCCTACTTATTGCCTAATGCATGTTCATGGTTTCATGTCTACTATAAGACATTAGTGCACTCAGGTGATATCCTGTATTTGAGTGGAGTTATTCGTGTTATTCGGAGAAATGTCACTGTTGTACTGCATATGATTTCTTATTTGCACTTTGCACAATACACATTGAAAATCATGCGTGGATAATATGTTAACATCATGTCTTATAGTTGCATTTAGCAGCTTAAATAGCTTACATTTTGTGACGGTAAAAGCAATAAAGAGTTATGCTATATATTTAAAATGCCTTGCGTAAGTATACTGGATGTTTGCGGATAAAATTGGGCATACTTGTATATGCAGATTTAAAGACAGCGTTAATATTTTACATTTTGCAATGAAATAAATCAGCGAGTTGAGATTTTCTATATTGTATATTGCTGTGGATATACTGTAATATACATCCAGCTTTATATATAGAGCTGTGCAATAATGCATGATGTCTTTGTGCACACACACACACGGCCTAAGTGTGTTTGATTGATGCGTTTATGATCATCTTTCATGAGATGATGTGTTATGCACTGCTGAAATCTTTCTCCTCCACAATGTGAAGAGTATAATCCCATTTGTTCAGTCGTCCAGTGTCAGGAAACGGACCGTGAAGAGTTGTAAAGTGTATATGTGATTGGAGCATTAGATGTTTTTTTTTTCTTCGTTGGTTTCAGAGCTGAACCGAGCCCTGCCGAAGCAATCCAAGAAGACCTGCATCGTGAAGATGGTCGGCACGAGGAACCTGTGGAAGAATATAGTCGTGCTCTGCGTCAACTCGTAAATTCAGTTTTATTACGCAAACATTAAATAAAAGTGTTTTTTATTTGTGTCTATGTGCACATCTAGTCTAGTGTGAAATATGATGATTATTATTAAAAACATTCTGCTGTTATTAAAGTTCAGATTCATCCAAAATAAACATTCTGTTTTTATTTTTTATTCTGTTTTCAAGCTGCTGTAAAATAAATGCTTATGAATCAAGTGGTTTAATTCAAGTCTTCTGAAGAGATACGATCATTTTATATGATTAACATTTAATTGGGATTTTATTTATTAGGATTTGGCACATCACACACTTTTGAGCTTGTGTGTTTACTCTATATGACATGCTCTATGTATGCGTGTCGACTAAATTAGATCTGTTCATGTTCTTCACAAGACTTGGATTAAAAATTAAACAACTGGATTATTAAGATCTTTTAGATCTTCAAAGTCACCTGGACGGGACATAAACCTCTCAGATTTGATTAAAAGTATATTCATATGTGTTTTGAAGATGAGTGGAAGTCTTACAGGTTTGGAAGGATGAAGTATGAGTAATTGAAAACCCTGTGTGTGTCTTCCTCTCAGACTGACGGGTTATGGCATACACCACTGCTTCGCACGCAGCATGATGGAGCAGGACGTCCCGATCCAGAAGAGCATGTTTCATAACTTCTATGCCCACTACTACACCATGGCGGGCATCGCGGTGGTTTCATGCGTGTCCCTGTGCCCTGCGGTGGGCGTGATGGGCCGGCGGGGGGGACTCCTCATGTTCATGATCATCACAGCCCTGGCATCTCTCCTTCAGCTGGGCCTGCTAAACCGTGAGTGAACACACACACATCAGTGACTACATTTACATGAACATGCAGACAGCAACGCTCTGAGCCTTTTCCTTACGCCATTGAAGAGATTAAAGGGATAGTTCACCCAAAGATGAAAATTACTGCATGATTTACTCACCCTGAAGCCATCCATATGACTTTCTTCTTTCAGACATTTCAGACATACAATAGCAGTTGTCCATGCTCTTCAGAGCTTTATAATGGCGGTGAATGGCTGTTTCTATGTTGAAGTCCATCATAAAAGTTCATCTATCCATCATAAAAGTGCATCTATCCATCATAAAAGTGCATATGTCCATCATAAAAGTGCGTCTGTCCATCATAAAAGTGCATCTGTCCATCATAAAAGTGCATCTGTCCATCATAAAAGTGCATCTGTCCATCATAAAAGTGCGTCTGTCCATCATAAAAGTGCATCTGTCCATCATAAAAGTGCATCTATCCATCATAAAAGTGCGTCTGTCCATCATAAAAGTGCGTCTGTCCATCATAAAAGTGCGTCTGTCCATCATAAAAGTGCATCTGTCCATCATAAAAGTGCATCTATCATCATAAAAGTGCATCTATCCATCATAAAAGTGCGTCTGTCCATCATAAAAGTGCATCTATCCATCATAAAAGTGCATCTATCCATCATAAAAGTGCATCTGTCCATCATAAAAGTGCATCTGTCCATCATAAAAGTGCATCTGTCCATCATAAAAGTGCATCTGTCCATCATAAAAGTGCATCTGTCCATCATAAAAGTGCATCTGTCCATCATAAAAGTGCATCTATCCATCATAAAAGTGCATCTGCCCATCATAAAAGTGCATCTATCCATCATAAAAGTGCATCTATCCATCATAAAAGTGCATCTGTCCATCATAAAAGTGCATCTATCTATCATAAAAGTGCATCTGTCCATCATAAAAGTGCGTCTGTCCATCATAAAAGTGCATCTGTCCATCATAAAAGTACATCTGTCCATCATAAAAGTGCATCTATCCATCATAAAAGTGCATCTGTCCATCATAAAAGTGCATCTATCCATCATAAAAGTGCGTCTCTCCATCATAAAAGTGCGTCTGTCCATCATAAAAGTGCATCTATCATCATAAAAGTGCATCTATCCATCATAAAAGTGCATCTGTCCATCATAAAAGTGTGTCTGTCCATCATAAAAGTGCATCTGTTCATCATAAAAGTGCATCTATCATCATAAAAGTGCATCTGTCCATCATAAAAGTGCATCTGTCCATCATAAAAGTGCATCTGTCCATCATAAAAGTGCGTCTGTCCATCATAAAAGTGCATCTATCCATCATAAAAGTGCATCTATCATCATAAAAGTGCATCTGTCTATCATAAAAGTGCATCTGTCCATCATAAAAGTGCATCTATCCATCATAAAAGTGCATCTGTCCATCATAAAAGTGCGTCTGTCCATCATAAAAGTGCATCTGTCCATCATAAAAGTGCATCTGTCCATCATAAAAGTGCATCTATCCATCATAAAAGTGCGTCTGTCCATCATAAAAGTGCATCTGTCCATCATAAAAGTGCATCTGTCCATCATAAAAGTGCATCTGTCCATCATAAAAGTGCATCTATCCATCATAAAAGTGCATCTGCCCATCATAAAAGTGCATCTATCCATCATAAAAGTGCATCTATCCATCATAAAAGTGCATCTGTCCATCATAAAAGTGCATCTATCTATCATAAAAGTGCATCTGTCCATCATAAAAGTGCGTCTGTCCATCATAAAAGTGCATCTGTCCATCATAAAAGTACATCTGTCCATCATAAAAGTGCATCTGTCCATCATAAAAGTGCATCTATCCATCATAAAAGTGCATCTATCCATCATAAAAGTGCATCTGTCCATCATAAAAGTGCATCTATCCATCATAAAAGTGCATCTATCCATAATAAAAGTGCATCTATCCATCATAAAAGTGCGTCTCTCCATCATAAAAGTGCGTCTGTCCATCATAAAAGTGCATCTATCATCATAAAAGTGCATCTATCCATCATAAAAGTGCATCTGTCCATCATAAAAGTGCGTCTGTCCATCATAAAAGTGCATCTGTTCATCATAAAAGTGCATCTATCATCATAAAAGTGCATCTGTCCATCATAAAAGTGCATCTGTCCATCATAAAAGTGCATCTATCCATCATAAAAGTGCATCTGTCCATCATAAAAGTGCGTCTGTCCATCATAAAAGTGCATCTGTCCATCATAAAAGTGCATCTGTCCATCATAAAAGTGCATCTATCCATCATAAAAGTGCGTCTGTCCATCATAAAAGTGCATCTGTCCATCATAAAAGTGCATCTGTCCATCATAAAAGTGCATCTGTCCATCATAAAAGTGCATCTATCCATCATAAAAGTGCATCTGCCCATCATAAAAGTGCATCTATCCATCATAAAAGTGCATCTATCCATCATAAAAGTGCATCTGTCCATCATAAAAGTGCATCTATCTATCATAAAAGTGCATCTGTCCATCATAAAAGTGCGTCTGTCCATCATAAAAGTGCATCTGTCCATCATAAAAGTACATCTGTCCATCATAAAAGTGCATCTATCCATCATAAAAGTGCATCTGTCCATCATAAAAGTGCATCTATCCATCATAAAAGTGCGTCTCTCCATCATAAAAGTGCGTCTGTCCATCATAAAAGTGCATCTATCATCATAAAAGTGCATCTATCCATCATAAAAGTGCATCTGTCCATCATAAAAGTGCGTCTGTCCATCATAAAAGTGCATCTGTTCATCATAAAAGTGCATCTATCATCATAAAAGTGCATCTGTCCATCATAAAAGTGCATCTGTCCATCATAAAAGTGCATCTGTCCATCATAAAAGTGCGTCTGTCCATCATAAAAGTGCATCTATCCATCATAAAAGTGCATCTATCATCATAAAAGTGCATCTGTCTATCATAAAAGTGCATCTGTCCATCATAAAAGTGCATCTATCCATCATAAAAGTGCATCTGTCCATCATAAAAGTGCGTCTGTCCATCATAAAAGTGCATCTGTTCATCATAAAAGTGCATCTATCATCATAAAAGTGCATCTGTCCATCATAAAAGTGCATCTGTCCATCATAAAAGTGCATCTATCCATCATAAAAGTGCATCTGTCCATCATAAAAGTGCATCTATCCATCATAAAAGTGCATCTGTCCATCATAAAAGTGCGTCTGTCCATCATAAAAGTGCATCTATCCATCATAAAAGTGCATCTGTCCATCATAAAAGTGCGTCTGTCCATCATAAAAGTGCATCTGTCCATCATAAAAGTGCATCTATCATCATAAAAGTGCATCTGTCCATCATAAAAGTGCGTCTGTCCATCATAAAAGTGCATCTATCCATCATAAAAGTGCATCTGTCCATCATAAAAGTGCGTCTGTCCATCATAAAAGTGCATCTGTCCATCATAAAAGTGCATCTATCATCATAAAAGTGCATCTGTCCATCATAAAAGTGCATCTATCATCATAAAAGTGCATCTGTCCATCATAAAAGTGCATCTATCCATCATAAAAGTGCATCTATCATCATAAAAGTGCATCTGTCCATCATAAAAGTGCATCTGTCCATCATAAAAGTGCATCTATCCATCATAAAAGTGCATCTATCATCATAAAAGTGCATCTGTCCATCATAAAAGTGCATCTGTCCATCATAAAAGTGCATCTATCATCATAAAAGTGCATCTGTCCATCATAAAAGTGCATCTGTCCATCATAAAAGTACATCTATCCATCATAAAAGTGCATCTGTCCATCATAAAAGTGCATCTATCATCATAAAAGTGCATCTGTCCATCATAAAAGTGCATCTGTCTATCATAAAAGTGCATCTATCCATCATAAAAGTGCATCTGTCCATCATAAAAGTGCATCTATCATCATAAAAGTGCATCTATCATCATAAAAGTGCATCTGTCCATCATAAAAGTGCATCTGTCCATCATAAAAGTACATCTATCCATCATAAAAGTGCATCTGTCCATCATAAAAGTGCATCTATCATCATAAAAGTGCATCTGTCCATCATAAAAGTGCATCTGTCCATGATAGGCCTTTTATAAGCCTCATTCGTACAGATTGTGCACGTGTGTGAACACTAACTAAAGTAAGTATCCGCTCTGTGGTGGAACCGCATGTTCAGGATAAGCAGGTTAAGAGTGCATCATTAACACACACACACACACACACGTCTATTACTGGCTTTCTGCTGTGCATGTAAACATTGTGAATACACCAGAAGCTCAAAACAAAAGCTTTTAAACACTACAGATTAGTTTGAAGCGTACTACATTATACAAGCACATCTGCATATCTTCATGTGTTTCATTAGTCATGAGCTGCTGACCTCTGATGTTGACATGTGTTGTTTATCTCCTCATGTGCTCGTCCGTGATGAATCCAGTGTTTGGGAAGTACAGTGTCCAGCTGAATATTGGTAAAGTATAATCTCAATGCTATTTAGACAGTTTCTCTTTATTGCTTTATTTCACATGATTTGTCATGATATCATCACCTATGCCAGTTTAATATCAAGATTATAATAAAATTATTGTCTTTTTCATTTTCTTTAAATATCTTCTCATTTAAACAAAATTGCTAAATAACTGGAAAAGTCCTTTATTTATTTTTCACATTTTTATGTCAGGACAATTTATACACAACCTCAAAAAAATTCCTACATCATCTTTAAACAGCTTTTAAAAACATGTTATTTTGTGTGCATGTAAACAGTCTATTTACCACAGTCCGACAAATATGCCAAGAAGCTTCAGTAATGTAGAGGCATTATTAAAGTTCTCCAGAAAACACTTTTTGTATTGTAATATATATATACCACATTAGCACTTAAGGAGAACGTGAGGCTGAAAAATAACTAAAGCTGAACCTTGATTTGACATTGAAACAAGATAAATACCCAAAACAAGCAATAACGTCCAGGTTTAAAGTGTTTGCAAGAAAGCCTTCAAACGTCAGCACAGATGATGGTGCTCAAAGCTGATATCCTTAAATGCACATTTGTTGAAAACACACTTTTTTTTCATGAGTTTTACATCATTTTTATATTAAGTTGCATATGTGATGTTTGTTTTTTGAGGAAAAGACAATAAATGGCTCCTCATCTTGTGTTGTTCTCCCTGGATCCCCACAGACAGCTCCGATGCGCTGAAGTACAACTTTTCCGTGGCCTTCTCCATGATTGGCATGTTCTCCTCCCACGCCGTCAGCAACCTCAGCATCTTCTTTTGTGCTGAGATCACCCCTACTGTGATCAGGTAAGCCAGGCCACTTGCACGATCATGGGGGAAATGGATACGTAGAATGAATGAAGACAGCGTAATCATTACAATATTTGTTCCCCCTGTTCTTTCCTTTAAAGCTACACTGTGTAACTCTTTTAGTTTATTCTTAGCTAAAAACACAAAAATATATGTGCTCATTAATGTATATTTACTTCGTTCAAGTAATAAAATATTCTCGTGAGTGTATAATATGCCATTGAAAATACATACGGGTAAGGGGTTCGCCATGTTGCCCCTCCATCTTGAAAGTACATTAGCCAAAGAGGGACATACCCGTTAATTCACGTTTACGTTTGAGTTAACAATCATGGACGAGGTCGAACTGGAAGCCATGTTGATCTTGGACTACATTGGCCACCGTTGGAGTTATTGAGACGTACAGAAACTGATATTCACTGGATGGTCATATACCTTTTCACCACTAGATGGGGGTACAAATTACACAGTGTAGCTTTAATATATATCGCATGCCCAACTAAATATTCCGAGGGCCTTGAAAGTTTTGCGAAAGTGATTAAGAAACGCCTGGCAACTTGTTGTAAAAATGCTGGCAGGGAAAGAGTTAAAATAATAAGCCAAGAATTGGCCGTTTGCACTATGAGATGTTACGAGATGACACGATCAATTTACGAATGAGCGCACCCAATCTTAGGGTAAAACAAGGTGCGTACACCCCTAACCTTGTGTTCTGTGTGCTGTGTAGGGGCGGGGGGCTCGGCCTGGTCCTGGCCAGCGCTGGTTTCGGCATGCTGACGGCCCCCATCATGGAGCTGCACAACCAGAAAGGCTATTTTCTGCATCACATCATTTTCGCCTGCTGCACTCTCATCTGCATCATTTGCATCCTGCTGCTGCCGGAGACTCGCAACCAACCCCTCCCGGAAACGCTAGCGGATGCTGAAATCCACACACGCCCACCGTTACTGCCGCCTCGCAAGCCGGGCGAGCAACGCCTTCTCCTGACCAAGTCGGACAGCCGCGAGTACGCAAGGGTCGGCGACACGCCTCTCCACGAGGCGGCCGCCACTGCGATCTCCACTATGGACTCCACCGCCTCATCCGCCATCGATCTCGCCATGCTCATTGACGCCCCTGTCCAGCAAGTCACGGGTCAGGTGGAGATATTCAGCATGAAGAAGTTGACTTCTGCCCAAGAGCTCAAGCAAACCACTCCGGAGTCGATCCCCAACACCTCTACTCCGATCTCTATTCACTTGTCCAGATCAGAGTCCCCTCCTGATGTTGTCCTGACTCTTCAGTCCTCTTCCACTGCGGACGCCTCTCCCTTATCGACCCACATCCAAACTCCTTCATTTGTAGTTAAAGCTGTTCCTCTTGCTTCGGGGTCTAATGATTGCGACATCCCAGGTGAAGTGGACTTGTCAGGTCCTCCCGACTCTAGCGTCCACCTGACGGCGTCCTCCCCAATAGTCTGCCCAATTAACCTGTCTGATCCCTCACCCGCATCCACTGGACAATCAAATGCCATTCCTGCCTCTTCCTCAATGGACTCTCTTGTTAACCTAGTCTCGGATAGTCTCGCCCCTTCCCCAACACAACTCTCATTATCACCAGTACTAGACCCGTCCGGTCAAGCCAACGGCGTCCCAGCTCCTTCCCCCATTGATTCTGGCACTCCCTTGTTACACTTAGTTGCTCCGCCTGCAATGAACTCCGTAGGGTCACCAACTCCACTTGAGTCTTTAGGTAGTGGCACTACTCTTGATGCCACCGTGGATTCCACACGCACGGACTCTGTTACAGAATCTGGCCACCCGCTCATGGCGGACTTGACCGTTTCCTCGCCTATCGACTCAGGTATTCCCACAGACGCTGACTTGCACATCACGGAAACCAGTGGGGAGACGTCTTCATGACGGACACACTCGGCCTTATTGTCCTCACTGCTTACCACGAAGCGGTTCTCGCCGCATTGACCCGAGATTTGACTGAAAGGGAAAGGGTTTTTATTCTCCCTTCCGACTGTGGTGCCAGTATCTGCTTTGTTTGGGCAGCTAGATCCAAATTTCCACGCGTTATCATTGAGCTTCTCTTATTAAAAACGCTACGAACAATAGTGTCAAGTTCTTACTTGAGTTACTCTGGAAGTCCGTGTAGTCTAGTGGCTAGGCTTACTCATAAGTGCTTGTTTGATAGTAATTAACGTTTAGGATCAAATGTGAGTAACGTTCTGTAATTAAATGACTGGAATGAAGTTGCTTTATTGAGGTCCGGTATCAAAGGGAAATTTCTCTCAAACCCAACAGCCTATATATTTAACGCTGGGAATGTTTGCCGATGTCGTCCCGAAGCGAACGGCAAGTACCTCTAGGTGTCAAATAGGCAGTTCATGTGACGAACCATACGCATATGTAAAATAGATACACTGAGACTGCTCAATGGTATACATGTGGTACGTTTTATGAAGCTAATGTGGTTTTGGTTGAGCTAATGGCTGATTTTGGTGGGGAAAAAATGATTTTGAGGAATACGACCCACGATACACTCAATCAAGTGTATGCAACAAACTTATTGTGAATGTGAAAAAGTTTTGTAATTTATGCTATTGTGGTACTGATGTACAGTGGTACTGACTGCTTTACTTTACAAAAAAACAAAGGTTATGTTGTGTGTGTCAATGAGTGTACGCCCATTGGTATTTTGTTACCATGTCTGTGTAAATGTATGTGGCACTTTATCGTTCACAATGACAAAAAAAAGCATGTGAACATCTAAAATGAACCTTTCAATGAATGATTTCCAAGTAATGAGAACAAATATGAATTTTGAGGAATGTGTACATTCGTGGTCACTTTATACTCACAGCAATAATGTCTTTACCATATATGGGTTTAAATCATTTCAAATATCTTTGAATTTTTATCGTTTTGTATCCTTAATCACAGTAAAGAGCATTAATATTAAATATTCTGTCTGAAATGGTCCCCTTGTGAGTTTGGCAAGAGTTGGCCGTGATCAAGCGTAAAACTACTGGAATATTTCATTGGCACGCGATGCAACATTACTTTGGATGACTTGGATTTTGCCAATGATTGTGGGATATTTTTAATCAATCCAGCTAACATTTAGTTTCTTTTTATCTTAAATAACATGTATTATGGCCCAACTACAGTATGTTAAACTTTTAAGAACAGTTTTTAATGATTTTTTGCTTTGTCTTTTGTTATTCCAAGGACAGGGGCGTTTTCTTATCAGATACATCATGGCCTTCTTCTGTCTGGTGACCTCCTTTAGCTCTCACCACTGTATTCCTGTTAAGCTATTCAGGATATCTTGTTACATTTGATATTAAACATCACATTTGTCCAGTTTTCATTTCCAATCTGACTCGTTAGCGTGATTGATTTGGCTTTGTTTTGACTGCAAACACCTCAATACTTGAGAGCAATAGAGTGCTTGTGCCATTTAGCCACATGTATTATGTTGTACAAGGTTATTAACATTATGTGTTATGTTATTCAGGTCGCTTCAGACACATAAAATCTGACTCTCTGAGCAAGATTGTGTTGATTTGCCATGACAGGAGTTGATCTAAAAGAGAAAACCTGAAGACTTGAATCTAGTGTTCTCGACCGTAGATTAACACAATGACATTTGTGTAGCTGAAGTACTTGATCTCATTTACTTTTTCATTACGTTCATCTGTTCCTCCACTAGACATTAAGACATTTTCACAAGCGTCAAATCGGATCACAAACAAAAAATGTCTTTTACACTATACAGTATATAACCTAATACTATGACTACTTATATGGTGACGATCCTCTCATAATCGATAGCCATTACCATTATACATACGGAAATCACAGCAATAAGAACAATATTGTTAGTAGTATTCTCAATTCCAAGGCTGTGAAGATTGGGACGGCCTACAGTTCTTGTCGCCTAACTTATGTGACAGCTGCCGTTGTAATCCCATCCTTATAAATAAATATGTCTGTTTATGTATATAATAAAGATTACGTTCCTCGGCCCAGGGACACGAGGACGCAGCCTCTGAATCGGGACACACGACTCGTTCTCAGACATACTTGTGAAGGTCGCTGCCAGTGGGAATAAATAGAGCAGTGTTTGTTTAATGCTAAATTGCTACGGTACTGTATTCTTCACAGCAGGATAGTGTCGGCCCGGTTCCGGCCCACATCCGGGCCGTGTGGGATCCATGTCGACACTACGCTGCTGTCTAGGGTGGATCAACCACTGTTTATTAACCTCTTTCTCAGTTAGTATACTTTTTTGTAACCTCTTTCCGGTTTTATAAGTACTAATTGTGGTAAAGCCAAGACATCCGTCATCTGTGACTCGGTTTGGATTTTATCTAGTCAATGTAAACTCTTCCAAACTCTTCATATTTTGAGAATATACCTCATCGACGGGTGTTTGACGCAGGAATGTACGCTCCGCTCCAACAGCACAGGCCAGAGGATGAATGTCAGAAAAATGATTGTTTTGGGTTTCATGTACATTTTTTAACATACGTAATGCACTTGTATATAAAGTTGTATGTGTCGTAATATACTTTAATGAATAAAAATATATTTGTTGAGATATTTATTGATTTAATTACTGATATGTTGGCTGAGAAAATAGTTTACAGAAATCTATTTTAGATTATGTCTGTGATCCAGAATAATCAGCCGGTTTGTCCAAATATCTGAGAATGCCTCATGATTTAGTGCATGGTAAAAACAATAGATTTTAGGTAGATTTAAATTATTATTTTTTTTTTGTTAAAATTATTATTTTATTTATTATGCAACAAATGAAATGAATGATGAATGCTCAAAATAGAAAATAGTACGGATGGGCGATATGACCAAAATCTGGCATCACAATAAAAGTGAGTTTCACAGTATAACAAAAATATTTTAATATATAGACAAAATATACCAGTGATATTTCCCTATTTTCAATACCAGTATTGATACCACTGCAAAAAATGAATAAGGTAACTAATGTAAGTAAAACCTTGAAGACAAGTAAACAGTCAGTAATGAAATAAATATAAAGAAACAAATGACAAATAAATACACAGAATACAGATAAGGAGTGTTAGGTTTTAAACAGTAAGCACTAATATAGAAATCAAATGAAGTAATGAACTGTAAAATGAAACATTGCACAATCTTCACTGTATTAATTAAATACACTGATATGTATTAACGTTATTACAGTTATTCAGTCTTTTGTTAGATGAACACTAATGACTTTAAGAGCGAATGCACTGATCCAATATACTGTTATCCACTTCTCCCGACGGTTTACCTTCACTCGAGATATATTTACATGAATACTCCTAATTTATCTTTAATGTTAATCTTTCTTTATCTTATTCACCGTATCCCCCAGAGTTAGACAAGTCCATACACACATTTTTCATCTCCGTGTGTGCTGTAACTCTGTCTGACGCACCCACCGCTAGCCTAGCTTAGCACAAAGACTGGATGCAAGTGGCTTCAGCTAGCATACTAATCCCAATGGTATTACCTGGTCTCCACTGTTTATCAGCGAATACCCATGACTGTAAACTATGCTTTTACTATCTAGTAATCCTCTGAGCGAACTCTCTGCTCCTCTCCACGGCACGTCTCGTGCTGCGGTTATCACTCCGCCCAAGTAGCAGTGCTTCTCCTTCTGAGAATATTGTTCCCAATATTTATAAGGTTAAAAGATGGCTGTGTCTCATATGACCTTGTTATTTGTACACTCGGTGACTATACAAATCACAACATGTAAATAGGAAAATGTTTGCGTTATTTTGTCACTTATTTGGGATTAGTATGCTAGCTGTATCCATTTACATCCAGTCTTTGTGCTAGCTCACATTTTTAATGAAGCAGCCTAAATAGTCTACTTTCGAAAATGTGTAGATGTCAGGTTTTCATTAAACCGAGAAAAATGGAATTTTGTTTTATTTACAATCACTGAGAAATGTTCTATTATTTAAAATTCCAAAAAAAAAAACATTAATTTTTTTTGGTTAACATGCCGAAGAAAACGTCTAAATGTCACGTTTTTAATGAGCAGCCTAATGAGTAAAATGCAGGGGCGTAATTTGCGGGTGGGACATGTCCCCACCACTTTTTGCCTGGGTCGATATTGTCCCCACCACTTTTTAAAAGCTCTCGCGGCACGGATAGCTAACAGTAGAAATAAATAAAACATCTCCAACTGACAGACCATTAATTTAGTTCGTTTGTAAAATAAAAGAAGCGATCTAGCCCTGAAATACGTTGTTTTTTAAATCAAGTGATCAAAGTGCTCTTTGCCGCCTGCGATCGGTAGCGCGGTTATCTCGTGGCTCACGCACAGTCTTCACATCTACACATGCGCGCTTCAATCCGTTTCGGAGACGGTGCAGAGCAGTGGAGCGAATTTATATATAATTAGGCCCATTGATTCGTTTAATTTTACAGCATTTTTTTGTACAATTGATATAAGCATAATTTTATTTTATTTGTGAGCGCTGTGCAAACGTTTAGTTATAAATGTTGGCCTAATAGTTAATTTACTTTTCATTTATTTATTTATTTATTTTTACATTTGTGTTTACACTTATTTTTTATCTTTATTTATATTATTAGGCCCATTTATTCGTTTAATTGTACAGCAGTTTGTGTGTACAATGGATAGGCTATAAGCCAATTTAAATTTTAATCGTGTGTGTTCTGCAAAAAAATCAGTTATCAAAATTCTGGCTTAATAGTTAATTTACTTTTAAAACTTTTATGTATATTTTTGTTTATATAATTTTTATTCATATTATTAGGTCAATTTATTCGTTTAATTTTACAGGACTTTCAGGCTATTCCACTGGACATGTTTTAAAGTCGAATTTATGTTTTTATTCACGTGTCACGTGATTCATTCATTTATACACATGTCCCACCCACTTTTTAAAACAAAGTTAGTCATGTTGTGTAAAAAAAAAAAAAAAACACTCGGCAACACAGAGTCGGCCCAGATCCGGCACACACGTGGATTCCACACATACAAGATGTGGGCTGACACCATATTGCTGTCAGGGAATAAAACCATGTATTTGCCACAGTGTCGTGTTTTATTTCATAAATTGATTCCATGTTTACAATTTCCTTTCATTTAATCACAAAATGCCATTAAACACTATGTACATAACATGGTGGTTTAACTTTTTGGGCAACGGAGAGTAAAAATAACTAATTTAGAGCAATCGTAGCCGTGTAAAATGTATGTTATTGACTAATGATTAAAGTTATGACTGTGTATTTCTTTATTTGAGTGTCTGGATAGAGTCTCGCTGCCCTCTGCAGGAAAGAACTGGGAGTAAACAAACACATATTCGTGTAGAGTGTTGACTAGAAACAAAACTAGGATTACAACTCGTTAAGTAATTGAGTAATTGGAAATATTGTGGCAGGCGCGTGCGTTCTGTGGTTGACTCAGCATTTGGAACGCTCGAGTCGAACGCGCGTCACCGATCACGAGAGTGACACGCGCACGCGCTGCTGCAGCACTTCCACTGCATCAAACCCGTGGCTCGTGATTGGCTGAGAGCGAGTGAGCTAAAGCCGAGTGTGAAGAAGATCTCAGAGTCGCATCAGCTGCAGTGGCACACACACCGCATCCTTCCAGCATCACACACACACACAGCTGAGCACCATGAGGGAGATCGTTCACATCCAGGCCGGACAGTGCGGCAACCAGATCGGGGCCAAGGTAAGATTGCAGCCCGTGCGTTTATATCTCTAAGCTTTTCGTAAACTATCATCGCAAAAGGAGGGATGCGAAGAAAAGTGCTCGCTTTGCTATGTGCACGAGCATCGTTCAGTGGGCTCATGTGTGATGGGTGTGGTGAGCAGACCCTCATGATCCTGTGCTGAGAGAACCGCAGTGTGCGTCATTCACAACCAGACATCTATTCTTTATTTCACAGCATTAAACATGCTTTATCATCATTAGAAGTGTGCGTCTATTCACTATCCACCACTTAACCTGCTTTATTATTAGTGTGCGTCATTCATCTGCACATCTATTCTCCACTAAACCTGCTGTATCATCCCTGCGTTTCAGTTCTGGGAGGTGATCAGTGATGAACACGGCATTGATCCCACTGGCAGTTATCAAGGTGACAGTGAACTGCAGCTGGAGAGGATAAGTGTGTATTACAACGAGGCGTCTGGTAAGTCAGAGTTTTGCATGTATATTTTGTATATATTTTCCCCAGCTCTGGTCCCCTGATCAGATTGCAGCTGTCAGTTATTGACTATTTCTGACCTCCTTCTTATAGACTACATCACAGGTTTTAAATCGAACGTCAGATTGCGTCATTTAAAGATTGTGGGGTATTCGCACAGTCATTCGACAGCACCCAGATGGGTCTTTGTGTTTCTGGAGAGAAGAGTAGATCTGCTGATGTCAATAAAAGGGTGGAGCAGGGTATAAAGATGGATGACGCTGTGGTTTAGCAGGGTCAGCATTGACTAGACAGGCAAGATGGATAGTGGGGGTGTTCAATTATGCATATTAAATTACTTTATAAAAAAAAAATGCACTTATTGTCTTTCATTCATTTGAATAGAAGCTCTGGGTCTTGGTTTTAGGTTGGATTTTTGTCTTTGTATGTTCCATACCTTGTATGTTTACTTCCACAGGAAACAAATATGTCCCTCGTGCCATCCTGGTGGACCTGGAGCCCGGCACTATGGACTCGGTCCGCTCTGGCCCATTTGGACAAATCTTCAGGCCAGATAATTTTGTGTTTGGTATGTTTATCACATATTTCATCTTTAACATCTGTGAATTTACGAGATTTCTACTTTGTTGCTTTGGAAAAAAAAATTAGACAGAATCCAGTGCTCTTGTTTCTTTTTTTAAATTTTTTTTACGTAACAGAAGATGTTGAGCTCCAAAAGCACAATAAAAGCAGACAAAACGATTAATGTACACAATTCCTGTATAAACGAGCTTAAATCTGCTTGTTCCTCACTGAAAATCTTCCCCTCTGCCATACGTCTCAATCACTTAATCGTCATTCGATTAAAATATAATGGGCATGCATGATCTGCTCTTATCATCCGATCGTGGTCGCATCTCCTTATTAGTGTTACTTGATCTCAGTGCTGCATTTGACCACAACATTCTTTTAAATAGACTAGAAAACTATGTTGGCATTTGTGGAACTGCATTAGCGTGATTTAAAGGAGTAGTTCACTTTTCTGCTGATAATTTCCTCACCCCCGTGTCATCCAAGATGTCCATGTCTTTCTTTCTTCAGTCGAAAAGAAATTAAGGTTTTTGATGAAAACATTCCAGGATTTTTCTCCATATAATGGACTTCAATGGGAACCAAACGGTTCAAGGTCCAAAAGACAGTTTCAGTGCAAACTGTTCAAATGTCTTTAAACGACACCAGACGATGAATAAGGGTCTTATCATGCGAAACGATCGGCTAGTTATTCCAAAAATGTAACTTTTCTAAGGACAAATGCTAGTCTTGCTCTATTCTGTGAGGCGCGTTTGTAACGTCACGTAGTACGTAATTACGTTCAAAAGGTCACGGGCGACGTAGCCGAAAGTACAGAGTCGGTGTTTACAAGTTGAACGCATAGGTTGAACGTGAAAACTAACTCAAACGCCGTTTACAAAAAGGAATTAAAAGGTAAAACAACGATGTCGGACGATTTTGATTCTGTACTTCCGGCTACGTCGCCCGTGACGTTTTGAACGTAATTACGTATTACGTGACGTAACCAGACAGTTTCTGGTCTCATAGTAGGAAAAAAAATATACTATGGAAGTCAGTGAGACCAGAAACTGTCTGGTTACTGATATTCGTCTAAATATCAGAAAATGGATTCGAAAACGGTGACGCTCAACTGTTTAACTCTGGGGGAGTGATAAAATGAGCCTATTTCTTAAAAAAAGTGGAGTATCCCTTTAATTTGTAGTTCAGCTAATCCTTTAACCAAATACTTGAAGTGTTATTGATTTGATGAAATTAAAACTGGGACACATTGTTTCAGGTCAAAGCGGAGCTGGGAACAACTGGGCCAAAGGCCACTACACAGAGGGAGCGGAGCTGGTGGACTCAGTGCTGGACGTGGTGAGGAAGGAGTCGGAGAACTGCGACTGCCTGCAGGGCTTCCAGCTCACGCACTCCCTGGGGGGGGGCACCGGCTCCGGCATGGGCACTCTCCTCATCAGCAAGATCCGCGAGGAGTATCCCGACCGGATCATGAACACTTTCAGCGTCATGCCTTCCCCCAAAGTGTCCGACACAGTGGTGGAGCCCTACAACGCCACACTCTCCGTGCATCAGCTAGTGGAGAACACCGACGAGACCTTCTGCATCGACAACGAAGCGCTCTACGATATTTGCTTTCGCACTCTTAAACTCACCACTCCTACTTACGGCGACCTGAACCACCTTGTTTCGGCGACCATGAGCGGGGTCACCACTTGCCTGCGATTCCCCGGTCAACTCAACGCCGACTTGCGCAAGTTGGCCGTCAACATGGTGCCCTTCCCTCGCCTCCACTTCTTCATGCCTGGTTTCGCTCCTCTGACGAGTCGTGGAAGCCAGCAGTACCGTGCCCTTTCAGTGCCAGAGCTCACGCAGCAGATGTTCGACGCCAAGAACATGATGGCGGCCTGCGACCCGCGCCACGGACGATACCTCACGGTCGCCGCCATCTTCCGTGGACGCATGTCCATGAAGGAGGTGGACGAGCAGATGCTGAGCGTTCAGAACAAGAACAGTAGCTACTTCGTGGAATGGATCCCCAACAACGTCAAGACCGCGGTCTGCGACATCCCGCCACGCGGGCTCAAGATGTCCGCCACATTCATCGGCAACAGCACGGCCATTCAGGAGCTGTTCCGCAGGATTTCAGAGCAGTTCACCGCCATGTTCAGACGCAAGGCTTTCCTGCACTGGTACACCGGCGAGGGAATGGACGAGATGGAGTTCACCGAGGCCGAGAGCAACATGAACGACCTGGTCTCCGAGTACCAGCAGTACCAAGACGCCACTGCGGATGAGGTGGGCGAGTATGAGGAGGACGATCTCGAAGAGGAGGAGGACGCTCGTCATTGAGTCAGCTCCCGAGGAAGATGGCGTCCAGTAACGGGTGGAACTCGATCTAGTCCGGCTGAACCGAATCAAGTTTAGGGTGTGGCTGGACCTTCAAGCTCCTCCCCTTATGTCCAGAGAGAGGGATCTGGACGTCATTGGCTCTCCTCTCCAAACAGCTGATAGTCATGTAGTTTTCAATACCTTTGCATCTAGTTTATCTTAAAAATGTCCATAGCAATGCAAACAGTGCCGCTACACCATAGTTCAAAAGGTGCTACAGTGTTTAATCGATGTTCAGAAAAGATACGAGTGAACAGCGATCAGTCCATCTTAGGTAAACTTACGATATGTTTTGTAACATGCGCTTTCGAACTGCAGTTGCCATGCTAAAAATAAAATAAAATGGTCACTTTACTGGTCAAATTACTGTCTCTTTTCAAAAATGGTTCGGCTCAAGTTTACGCATTCATTCATTGCTCTCAAATTCAACTCAAGTTATGGAAGACCGGTTTACAACAAGGGACTGTTTAGGGACACTTTCCAGCAAAGTTCAGCTCCCGGAAGTTTCCAGAGATCCAGAAAACCTTGATTAGCTGGTTCAGGTGTATGTGTTTGGGTCTAGAACTAAACTTTGCTGGAAGGTGGACCTTCAGGAGCCGGATTGGACACTACTGTCTTAAGTAGGGTTGGGTATCGAGAATCGAGTATCGATTGGAACCGGGACTTACTTTTCGTTTTTCCCGGAATCGTTCAAAAGTAAAAAATTTCGATTCCTAGTTTCGATATTCACAGTCCGCCGAGCGGAAGAAGAAACCGCTGAACAACACCAACGAAGAAGCGTCTACCGGAAGTGTTGGCATAACCGCGCGAGTCGAACATGAGTAGCTTACGTCGGCGATCCAAAGTGTGGCTTCACTTTTCTAAAAATAACGAAATCTCGGCAAAATGCAAAATTTGTGACAAAAGGAGTATTTCTACAAGAGTATTTTTACAGAAGGAGTATTTCCTTCAGAAAGACCGTTGGTTAGCAAGGTTAGCTAAACTTTTTTGACCCTGCCTCTTAGAAGAATCGGAATCGAGAATCGTTAGGAATCGGAATCGAAACAAGGAATCAGAATCGTTCAAATTCAAACGATACCCAACCCTAGTCTTAAGCTAAGAAAAACCTTAGTAAGGTCACAACTCTATGAGTGCTTGGCGTGGTAATTGGTATGACGAAGAAAATGTTTGGTCTTGGCGGAATAGAGCTGCTACTTCTATACAGGTGGAGCTGGGGAAGGTGGAGGGTTTCTGAAAGAGTTTCATGACAAAACTTTGTATTTATACTTACGTTTTTGCTTTTAACCAGGTTTAGGTCCAAGGTTAGCTTGTACATTTTTTCTCCAATTCCAGTATAACACACAGTTTGTTGACAAAAGGGGGAGGTTAATGGTACAGCTCTCTTAACTCATGGACACATCTTTATACATTCAAGTAGTTATGAGTTTCCCTTTGTTACTGGAACAAGTACCAGTTTTGGTAAAACTGAAACTTTATTACTTAATAACTGTATAATATGGTGGTAAAGGCGAAGATTAGAATACACACTTTGACTTTCACACAGATTGTTTTGCCATTCTGCAGATTTTGGCCAGTCTGAATTGACAGCTTTCAAAGAAAAATCACAGTGTATGTTGGCTTCAGACTGGCTGCATTTACATTGAACTTTGTAAGTGACCCAATTCCCACTTTTTCCTCCCATGTGGCTGTCTATGGGATAAGCATAGACAGTAAAAGAAATGGACAGAGCGATCTCATCGGGAACTCCATTGAGACGATTGAAGCCCGTTTTTGGCGATTTTTTTTAGCACTTCCGTCCCTGACGCGCAGATTTAAACAGAGCTTGACTATGTAGATGTGACATGAATGACCCATGAGAGACAATTCTGCTAGGTATTCTGATTTAATTATTTTGTCATTTTGCCTCCACGTTTCCCCGATTGCGCGGGAGCTTCTCCTCCTGTACGTACGGTAATCTCTACTGTGCGACAGAGAGTCGCGTGGGTATGACGCAATCGTTAGCCTACTCTCACTAAAACTGCTTCTACAGGGGCATAACATAAGCTACAAGGTAATGGAGCTATTTATACATTGTCGTGTTTCTTTAGAAATAAATAAAGGAAAAATGGGGTCTTCAAACGCCTCAGATGTAAAGTTATTCGCTGTCAAAGTGATGCCAAAATGAATGGGAGTCAATGGGAATGCTAACGCAAGTGAAGTTCTGCTACAAGATGTCAGCTCCCGCGAGGCTTCAACTTCCGGTCGATGGATTACACGCCTTTGGTGTGAGAGACTCAGGTTCGAATCCACTGTGAGACACCAATGTGTCCCTGAGCAAGACACTTAACCCCTAGTGCAACCTCTGACATATATAGCAATTATAAGTCGCTATGGATAAAAGCGTCAGCTAAATTAATAAATTTAAATGAACAAGTCAGCAGGAAACTAGCTGTGGACCGATTGAACCAATCAAAAGTGAACCGAGAATTTGGTCCAGCCTATGGAGGATCTCACAAAACAAGGTTTGTTTATGTTGGTCCATCTACGCACATAAGAGTATAATCTCTTATGAATTTCTATAAAATTGAGTCTTAGTAAGACAAATGTAACCACTTTAAAAGGTTTTCTCACATTTGGATCATTAGATCTTCAAAGTAAGTTGAAACCCAATGCTTTCTGAAAGTGTAATCTGGCATTTTCTCTGAGAAACGCTGTGCATCTCGGGACAGTCTGCTCTGTAAAGCATCCACTCGTCCTGTGCTTCTCGGCCCAGAAAACAAAGGAGGCATTTGTAGGCCGCATATAATCCTCTGGGGTTGTTCGTTTCAGAGTCACACTCGGGGTGTTCGGGTCCAAATGGATCCAAAGGGCGGGATTCATATTTAAAAAAAAAAAAAAATCATGATTTTTTTTTTTACTCGTTTTTTTATAATATTTTTTCTTTTGGTGTTTTGAGAAAATTTCAAAAAAAAAAAAAATGTATAATTAGTATTAATGCAATAATTATGACAAACCCCCCCCCCCCCCCCCCCATTGAAAATAATAGAAAAAATATATTTTTTAAAAAATATATTTTAATTTTTTTTAAAGCTGTATTTCATTTTAGAGTCAAGCCTAGGCCTCATAAAAGCAATTTTTGAAATGAGATGCCATCTGATGGACAAACTGAGCATTTTAAAAATGCAAAAAGAATTTTTTCGTGTGTTTGTGTATAAAGGTGTGTTTGTGTGTGTCTGTTTTGCACTCTTGATGTTTTATAGATTCACCCCTTCACTGTTGTGTGCTTTTTTTCAAGATCGTGGCTGATTTGTAGATTGTACGCACAAAAAAATGTCCCATTCATTTTCCATGCGGGTCCATTTGGACCCGAACACCCCAAGTGTGACTATTTTTTTTTTACAACCACTTAGACTACTCACATCCTGTCCCCAATTTTTTGGGGTGTTCAAATACCAAATACCAACAAAGTCACCAAATTTCAGACCGATCCGAGGAAGCTGCGATTTTAAAAAATTATTAAAATTCTTCGGGTCCATTTGGGCCGAACAACCCCAGAGGGTTAAAGGAGCCTTTCATCACGCCACTGAAGGCCTTCGAAGGACGTGCATTTCAGCATTTCGCCCAGTTGTTGACAGGATTGTGAAAAGCAAGGTTGTCCGCCTGAATGTGATTGGCCCGACTGGAAGACCAGCATTACGAAAACAAGTCAATGACACAAAAGATACTTTCTCTCTCTCAAACTTTATTGCATTGAAGTGAATAAATCAGTCTTCAAATGTGTAAACATGGATTCTACAAGTATTTTTATCTCTACCAAAGACATTCTTGATTTTCTCAATATAAATATTCAACATTCAAGTGAAAAAACACCCAAAACATGTTTTGCATTAAAGAGATGCATCACTCTATGATAAAAGTACAAAATGTGAAATCCAGCAATTAGCAACAATATAAATGGCAAATCAATAACCATCTGAGATTTAAAGCTACAGTAAACACTGCCCCTCTTAAAAGTGCTTTATGAACTAACATCGGAGTTATTACGACAGTACGAAACACACATTGGCCACTTTACATGTTCGTGATGATGAGATGGAGCGGTGGTGTGTGTCACATGGGGCTGTCCTCGTCTCGCAGAGAGATGACGCTGCAGTCTGTAGACGAGCAGCTGCGCAGACGTGCCTTGCTCAACATCTCGGCGCTCGGACACTTCCCTTGACCTCTGCAGGACAGAAAACACACGTGGAGACTCGTTTACTCACTCCTGTACTCTCCAAAGCCATCGTTTGGTCCTGCCCCACTTGAAGTGAGTGTGTCTCAGGTCTGAAAACACCAAAACCTCAGTGTTTTCTGTGCTAATTTTGACCCACGAGGGTTGCCCACGAGTACCTGCTGTCTGGGATGAGGTGTAGCGTGCGGTACAGGTCAGCAGTGGAGGGCATCCTCACAGACTTCGGGGTGGAGAACGCGCTGTAGGACAGGGGTCGGGTCTGGAGCGGTGGAGTGGACTGCAGTTTGGCCTCAGGTCCAGCACCTAAACACACGCGAGTTCAAAACATCCTCAATGAATACACTCGAGGAGCTGACCGGAGGTTCTGCCGGGTCTGCAGAGATACTCACTGACGGAGAGAGCCGTGTGAGGGTCAGGCAGAGCGGGCCGTTTACGGTCTACAAACGGGGTCATGTTCAGAAACTGGGTCTTCAGCCACGTCGCCCGATCCTCCTCAAATGACTTCCTCTGAAGAGGGAAAACACAGCGAGTTAAAAACGGCTTTTTCAGCCTCATTATAATAATTCATGCGCAGAATAAAGGGGCGGGGCCTGGTGGAGTTAGTCAGTAGGGTGTTAAACTGGCGGTTATGGAAAGGGGCGGGACTTTCCCAAACACACTCGAATCACTCAAGCAAACCACTCTAACCGACCAATCAGAGCATTCAGAAGGAGGGGCTTCATAGAGACAGGAAGTAAACGGAGCGTTACTGGGAAGAGAGGAGAATACATGGTTTTCATCGCTATTACACAATAAAAGCCTGAAGAAGAAAATAAAGCAGACTTGGTTTCAATAAAAGTAATGTTTTGCATTGACTCATTTATGAAACGCAGTGTGTGTTTAATAGCACACTGACCTCAGATCTGTCAAAAGATGAAGGAATATGACTGATTTGTCATGTTTTCCTGTAAGAGTTGAGTACCTCGTGTCCCAGGCGTATAGCAGCCTCAGTGAAGTTCCTCCTCTCTCGCTCGAAGTTTCGTTTCTGCTCAGCGAAGAGCCTCCACTCCTCTTTCAGCCGCTCCTTCTCCTCCAGCGTGTAGCAGTCGTTCAGCAGAGCTGCGGTCTCCTCGTCACACGGCACGCTCAGCTGCTGCTGTACACACACACACACACACACACACACACACAATGTGATCTATGTTTTAGCCCAATTCATGGTCGGGTCGGATATTTGTAACCAACAAATTTTAAATAAAAGTGCTTTAGCGCATGACCCCAATTATTTAACGGTCACCGTCCCTAACTTTACTTCACTATATTTCTATTAAATCCTAATGTAATTATGACAAATTATATATATCGTTGGAAAGGTCTAAGACTTCTAAATAGATATTCTACCCGTTTTGTGTTAAAAAAAGTAAGTCGATGCACCCACTTTTAATCATTGAAACTTCTGTTTTTATGCTAAAAGTTCATAATAAAACATATAATCTAGTATTTTTCAATAAAAAAAATATATAGTATAATATTATCCTCTAAAATATAATATTATTTTTTATTACATTAGTTATCATAAATTAGGTATCATTTGAAAGCTTATAAACTCAGAATTCATCGTGTGAAAACTGTTATATATTAGAACGTTGCGTTACCATAGAAACGGTACTTATTTCATCAGGCTCCTCCCCTTTTGGGCGTAATTTATGATCAAAACCTTTTCTAATCTTGACAAAACTGATATTGTCAGAAAGGTTTGTGACAGAATTGATATTTGGACAGAAATGTATTAATTTGTTTAAGGCAGAATGTATGCAACTGAATTCAATGGCACCCGGTGGCTATTTTTGGTACTACGCCTAAACAAAATCTCATGGGAACTTTAATTTTTTGTGATATCAACTTCATGGAACATAACTTGATAAGATTAATGGCTTTGATTTTATAGAAATTTTAGAGTAAAAAATATTTTGTAAAATATATATTTTATATAAAAAAGTATATTTGATTTACTGTCAATTTAAACTTCCATAACTTTGTCATACTTTCATTTTTTGAAGTGTTTTCACTTCAGCAATAATCTGCTGAGTGTTTCCTTTAAAACAAGACCAAACTTGGGTATATTCCAAAGCATTCTTAAAATACAACCATTTAAGTTTGAATAGTGCATTTAACCCCCATTGAGGTTGAAACAGGAATAACAGCGGCTCATGCTCAATCCTGACGCCTATCCACGTTTAGATGAACATCTTCACTTTTTACAATAACAAAATAAAACAAAAACAACAGCGGTGAGAAAACCACAGCGATGTGGATGTTTGAATGTGTGTGTGTGTGTGTGTGTGTGTGTTTGACCTGCAGAAGCTGCTGCTGCATGTGGATGAACTCTTTACACTGCTGCAGCTCCAGGCGTATCCGCTGCATCTCCTCCTCATGATCCTTCCTGGACATCAGCTCCTCCGCCTCGCGCTCCTGACACGCCACCAGAGACACTGCAACACACACACACACACACACTCCTCATCATCGCTGACGAACTCACTCTGGAGAATGCCTCAAAGTCAACTGAGGAGAATTTGAAAACTCAGCATTGGACTATGGTGATGTAATATACATGCGGTTCACGTGTGTGTACGCATCACTGTATCTTATGTATGAACTCATTGGTCTTCATTGATCTTGAGGAGGAAACATCATATGTTGTGTGTGTGTACCTTGGCTGTCGAGTCTCTGCATGTGGCTCTTGAGCTTCCTCCACTGCAGGCGGATGCTGTTGGTCAGCTGCTCACGCGCCTGCTCACATGACTGCTCCAGCGGCCCTCGACTGCCCTCCTCATCCTCATCCTCATCCTCGCCCGACGACACGGCCTGACAAAAGCCCAGGAAACCAAACAGTTCATGTATTTATTATAGTCTTATAAAATAGAGTGAGTGAGTGAGTGGAGGCGGAGCTCATTTGCATATTCATAGAACCGAGCATACTAAATGAGGCGAGGGTGTCGAGTTACAATCAAGATATTTTAAAGGGATACTCCACTTTTTTTTTGGAAATAGGCTCATTTTACAACTCCCCCAGTTGAGTTTTACCGTTTTCAAATGTATTTCTGGTCTCATCGACTACCATAGTATATATTTTTTTCCTACTATGGAAGTCAATGAGACCAAAAACTCTCTGTTTACTGATCTTCTTGTAAATATCAGAAAATACATTCGAAAACGGTGAAACTCAACTGGGGGAGTTGTAAAATGAGCCTATTTCCAAAAAAAGTAAGGCAAGTTTTAAATGTGTAATTTAGGTGATCAAAATGAGTTTTAAATGATATAATGATTGATTACAGTGAATAGAAACCAATCTGAAATATATACATTTATTTAAATGAATTAAATACTTTAACCCTTGTGCATCCTTCTGGACATTTTTCAGTTTTGTTTTTTTGATCACTTTGCCTGTGTTAAAGCTAACTGCAAAAATCTTGGCACAGGTGTGTGTTTTTATTGGAATTTTACTATTTCACCGTCATTTTCTTAAAAAAATATTTTTTGCAGTAGGTACAAAAAAATACTCCCTCTCAGCACCTTTTAGACAAAAATGTCCCCATTAAAACTGCCATTTTTAATCCCCGGTTCAGTTACTATAAAATTATGCAATCTTTGTTAAGAGGCTTTCATTCTGATAGCAATTTTATTTTTTACTATTTTTTTATCAGATGGTGTCATTTTTTTTTTTAAGTTTGGCCTATAAAACAAATATCGCTTTTTTCTGGTTCGGCATACTATAGAGCCAACTGGATAAATTATGCAACGATATTTGTGTGGGTGTGTTGGTATGGATGTCAGAGTGTGGTTAGTATGTGTGTTATAAAAAAAATATGTGTGTGTGTTTGTAATACTGAGAGAGAAAAACTGCAATCACTGTGAGCTCCAGTGGGGTTTTGCTGCCACCCAATGGGGAAAATATGTTACTACGCCCAAACAAACTGTTACTGAAATCTCATTTTTGGAGATATCATCCTCAAATTTGGATTTAGATTTATGCAGTTTTGAGTTCAACCCTATTTATAAAATATATATTTTATATAGAAATATTTTTTATAAATAATTTTCATAAACTTATACCTATATAACTTTTTTGGATTTCCTTATTTTTTTTTTTACTTCAGCAATAATCTGCAAAGAGTCTTCTTTAAAATGATACCAAACTTAAGTCTGTTTTGACATGGACATTTTTGTCCTCTTTTTACCTATGTGTAACTTTTTTTAATTGATGCACACATTATTTTCTTTTATCTAGCCGTGTAAAGTACAAAAGCAGTCTATAATCGATGCTCAATAAGACCGAAGCTGTGTCAGTGGTGGAAAACATCTTTAGTGTAACGAGCATAGACGATAGTGTGTGTTTCCTAATGCGCTCAGACCTGCTCGAGGCTGTCCTCCGGCGGCTGCGGCTCCACGCTGAGGCTCTTGGGACTGAGGATGGCCATCATGTCCTTCTTCATGTGCTGCAGCACCTTCTGCAGCTCCACGTTCTCCATCATCAGAGACCGCTGACGCGCCTCATAGTCGCTCAGCAGAGCCCTGTACATCTCGCCCTCGTGCCTGAACACACACACACACACACACAGCACTTCACACGGGTGCAGAGATGGCCACACACACACACACACACACACGAGTGTTACCTGGCCTCCATCTTGCCGGTCTTCCATAGGCCTCTCCTGCCGTCGGGTCTTCCCACACAGTTGGACACCTCTATGGCTGAACACACCAGGACAGAGGTCATGACCTTGTTCAGCTCTCTGTGTGTGTGTGATTGTTAGGCAGAGAGTGTGTTTGTGATGCGTCCCCGAGTTATTGTAAAGTTATATTTCCATAAACCCCGAGCGCTCACCGAGCTTCTTGTCCCTCTTGTCCACGAGCAGCTGGTTGAGCCGCTCCTTCAGCTTGGAGCTCTCCCGCTCTTTGCGCTTGGCATCATGGGAGTACTGTGTGGCTCGACTCGAGATGATGCTCTGCAGCTTCTGCACCTGCAGCACACACACACACACACACACTCAGTGTTAGAAAGGTTACTTTGGAAATGTAATTGCTCACTGTTATAAGTTACTCATTATGAATGTGGTTTGGATCGCTTTATTTAGATTACTTTATCCATGTAAAGCAATTTCCTTTTAATTTGATAAGTAACTAATTGAATTACAGTAATACAACTAAACACAATTACATTCATTTTGTAATTTAATAAAAATTTCATTACACGTAACTAGTCACTCCTCAACCATGCATACATTTTGATCCAAAAAAATAAAATAAAACTTTTTATACACATATATATATATATATAAATACATAAATAAAATGTACTATAATATATATATATATATATATAAATAATAAAATGTACTAATATATATATATATATATATAAATAAATAAATAAATAAATAAAATGTACTATAATATATATATATATAAATAAATAAAATGTACTAATATATATATATATATATATATATATATAAATAAATAAAATGTACTATAATATATATATATATATAAATAAATAAAATGTACTAATATATATATATATATATATATATATATATATATAAATAAATAAAATGTACTATAATATATATATATATATAAATAAATAAAATGTACTATAATATATATATATATTTTGATATTTGGATTTTGTTTGCTGGGGGTAATGGAGTAAAAGTTGAACAGAATAATGTTTTTTCTAAGACCAAAAGTGGAGCAGCGCCGTGATAGGCCGCAGTCGTGACGCCGGTGTGAGCGTGAGCACGTCTTACTTCCTCCTTCTCAGACTTCAGGCAGTTCTGTAGCGTCCTGATCTTCAACTGGAGCTGTCGCTCACCCTCATGCAGGCCCGAGTTCTCCCTCCTCGTGTGCTCCAGCTGATCCTGACACACACACACAGGAAGTTAAAAGCAGGCTGCTCATACTGTCACAATATCTATGAAACATTTTTGGTTCGTTGCCACTGTCGCCTTGCTTTGGACTTGCTTAGTTGGGGTTATTAAATATTTAACAATATTATTGATCTGTGTTGTACTACTTTCATGTTATCACTGTGAAGCTGCTTTGATACAATCTGTATTGTGAAAAGCGCTATATAAATAAATGTGACTTGACATTTTAAAGAAGAGCAGAATCATAGAAATGGATATTTGAGTAAAGCAGTGTGTGTGTGTGTGTGTGTACTTTGAGTCGACAGTGGCTGTGCTGCAGGTGCTCGAGGTCACTGGTGTTCTTCATCAGCTGGTTCTCCAGCTCGTGATGGGTACGCTGAGCTCTCCTCTGCAGCTGCAGCAGCTCGTACAGCACGTTCAGCACCGGCACAGCGCTCAGACCACCCGACACACACTCCACACACACTGCAGACACGCCCAGCGAACACACCTCCTGAGGACGACACGACAACACACACACAAAGATGAGATCAACATTACAGTACTTAAAGCTGCAGTGTGTGATTTGTAGCAGCATCTAGTGGTGAGGTTGTGAATTGCACATCTGGCATTATCAGGACACACACACATTCCCCCATTGCATTACTATACATAATATATAGCAGTTTCATGTAGTAAGTTTGTCACTATCCACGACACATATTGTTGCACTTTTGTATGGTTTGTGACCCGATATATGGTCGTCAATCATCAGAGCAAAGAACAGTAACGGTTTAGTACCTGATTGACGTATGCGATACACTGCGGTACGTTGTCCTCGGTGCAGAACGCACTCAGCACGCTGTAGGAGGATTTGGGCCTGGAGGGACACATGCTGATCCCAGAAATACTGGAGAGCTCTTTGGTGTCTGTGCAGAAGACGAAAGAAAAGCCGGTTATCGAAGCCAGCCTCGACATGCCTAGCATGACCGTTTTAACATGGAGTCAGTCGAGTCGCTGCACTAAACGCTAGACAGTGGAAAAAAGCATAAATATAGATGTCAACAGCAATTATTGTGCAAGCAGAACAGGCTGAATAAGCTTCAACACGTTGCCAAACATTGGATTGGAGTAAGGTTTTAAATAGCACTTGACCAGGGGAATTTGGTGAAATGGTCAAAATGTGTGCAAATTGAACCTGTTGGAAAGACTATTTACTTTTAGGGGTGAACGACTCCTTCCAACTCATTACAGAAAAGTACTATCTTAGTTTCAATACGAGGCAATGCAACATTACACAGATCAAGACCCTGTGTGTCTCACCGAGAGATGGATCTGGCATGGTCTCTGGAGTCCACCAATCTCCCATCATGTCCACATTGAGCTCGGCCGGGACTCTTGCTGGCACTCCTGAAATAGCCCAGTCGTCAGACGGGATTACAGCGCTGTGAAGCCGGATTAAAGCGCAGGGAATATCACTGCAGGATTACAGAGAGCGGGAACAACAGGAGGATGGAGGAGCACCACTTCTATCACAGCAAGAGCTAGACGTTCATGAAGTACACTTCATCTGAAGGAAACCCAAGTCACACACACACGAGAGCTCATGATGAACATGAACAACTATTGATTTCATCATTGATTAGCTGGGTCTGCGTGGGAAATGCATTTAATACATTTGAATGAATGTGTAATGGACTCAATGGGGGGAAAGGTAGGCATTGGTGATCAATTGTAGAAAGTGGGCTTGCAAACGACCTTGTTGTCCATCAGAGGAGACTTTAAACACTCTTTAAAATAATGATGTGCACTGATCAATAGGGTTGGGTATCGTTTGAATTTGAACGATTCTGATTCCGATTCCTTGTTTCGATTCCGGTTCCTAACGATTCTCGATTCCTTGTTTCGATTCCGGTTCCTAACGATTCTCGATTCCGATTCCTTGTTTCGATTCCGGTTCCTAACGATTCTCGATTCCGATTCCTTGTTTCGATTCCGGTTCCTAACGATTCTCGATTCCGATTCCTTGTTTCGATCCCAGTTCCTAATGATTCTCGATTCCTTGTTTCGATTCCGGTTCCTAACGATTCTCGATTCCGATTCCTTGTTTCGATTCCGGTTCCTAACGATTCTCGATTCCGATTCCTTGTTTCGATTCCAGTTCCTAACGATTCTCGATTCCTTGTTTCGATTCCAATTCCTAACGATTCTCGATTCCGAATCCTTGTTTCGATTCCGGTTACTAACGATTCTCGATTCCGATTCCTTGTTTCAATCCCGGTTCCTAACGATTCTCGATTCCGATTCCTTGTTTCGATTCCGGTTACTAACGATTCTCGATTCCGATTCCTTGTTTCAATCCCGGTTCCTAACGATTCTCGATTCCGATTCCTTGTTTCGATTCCGGTTCCTAACGATTCTTGATTCCGATTCCTTGTTTCGATTCCGGTTCCTAACGATTCTCGATTCCGATTCCTTGTTTCGATTCCGGTTCCTAACGATTCTCGATTCCGATTCCTTGTTTCGATTACGGTTCCTAACGATTCTCGATTCCGAATCCTTGTTTCGATTCCGGTTCCTAACGATTCTCGATTCCGATTCCTTGTTTCGATTCCGGTTCCTAACGATTCTCGATTCCGATTCCTTGTTTCGATTCCGGTTCCTAACGATTCTCGATTCCGATTCCTTGTTTCGATTCCAATTCCTAACGATTCTCGATTCCGAATCCTTGTTTCGATTCCGGTTACTAACGATTCTCGATTCCGATTCCTTGTTTCAATCCCGGTTCCTAACGATTCTCGATTCCGATTCCTTGTTTCGATTCCGGTTACTAACGATTCTCGATTCCGATTCCTTGTTTCAATCCCGGTTCCTAACGATTCTCGATTCCGATTCCTTGTTTCGATTCCGGTTCCTAACGATTCTCGATTCCGATTCCTTGTTTCGATTCCGGTTCCTAACTATTCTCGATTCCGATTCCTTGTTTCGATTCCGGTTCCTAACGATTCTCGATTCCGATTCCTTGTTTCGATTCCGGTTCCTAACGATTCTCGATTCCGATTCCTTGTTTCGATTCCGGTTCCTAACGATTCTCGATTCCGATTCCTTGTTTCGATTCCGGTTCCTAACGATTCTCGATTCCGATTCCTTGTTTCGATTCCGGTTCCTAACGATTCTCGATTCCGATTCCTTGTTTCGATTCCGGTTCCTAACGATTCTCGATTCCGATTCCTTGTTTCGATTCCGGTTCCTAACGATTCTCGATTCCGTTTCCTTGTTTCGATTCCGGTTCCTAACGATTCTCGATTCCGATTCCTTGTTTCGATTCCGGTTCCTAACGATTCTCGATTCCGATTCCTTGTTTCGATTCCGGTTCCTAACGATTCTCGATTCCGATTCCTTGTTTCGATTCCGGTTCCTAACGATTCTCGATTCCGAATCCTTGTTTCGATTCCGGTTACTAACGATTCTCGATTCCGATTCCTTGTTTCAATCCCGGTTCCTAACGATTCTCGATTCCGATTCCTTGTTTCGATTACGGTTCCTAACGATTCTCGATTCCGATTCTTTTAAGAGGCAGGGTCAAAAAAGTTTAGCTAACCTTGCTAACCAACGGCCTTTCTGAAGGAAATAATCCTTTCTGAAGGAAATACTCCTGTAAAAATACTCCTTTTGTCACAAATTTTGCATTTTGCCGAGATTTCATTATTTTTAGAAAAGTGAAGCCACACTTTGGACCGCCGACGTAAGCTACTCATGTTCGACTCGCGTGGTTATGCCAACACTTCCGGTAGACGCTTCTTCGTTGGTGTTGTTCAGCGGTTTGTTCTTCCGCTCAGCGGACTGTGAATATCGAAACTAGGAATCGAAATTTTTACTTTTGAACGATTCCGGGAAAAATGAAAAGTTAGTCTCGGTTCCAATCGATACTCGATTCTCGATACCCAACCCTACTGTTCAATAATTTAATAACAATGCAAGATTCAATGTAAAACATAGGAAATGTCCATTTTGATGTCATGGTGACCCAGACTTTTAACAAACAGCATAAAGATCAGCTTGAAATGGGAACGGTCACATTTGAGGAGAGTAACAGTGTAACGAATGACATTTTCTGGAATTAGATGAACAATATTATCCTCATTGACTTGTGTCATTCTTATAGAAACACATCTAAAACTGCTATTTGGCACACATTGAGATTCCTATTTAAAGGGATACTCCACTTTTTTTGGAAATAGGCTCATTTTACCACTCCCCCAGAGTTAAACAGTTGAGTTTTACTGTTTTCGAATGTATTCAGTCGATTTTCTTTTCTGATATTCAGAAGAATAACAGTATTAACCACAGAGTTTCTGGTCTCATTGACTTCCATAGTATAAATTTTTCCTACTATGAGACCAGAAACTGTCTGGTTACTTTGTCAATTTTATTTTTAAATCTAAGGTTCCACTGTCTTCTGGATTATTACAGAAAATAAGCTCTGCAACCAAATAAAAGTTTATGACTCTTCCATGTTTTGTTCATCAAGAGAATCTTCAGAACGCAAATAGAAATCACTAAAAGGAGAAAGCAAACGTTAGGCCATAAACTAAGTAGGCTACGCTATAATCACATCATCATGCTTAACAAATCCACCGCTCTGTTTGTGGTATTGTGGAGGAATCTGCTTCCAACCTTTTTTATTTTTTTATAAATGTGTTAATGTTATACTTTTTAATATTTTCTTTTTTTAAATAAATGGCTTTTCTTTCAGCATGAGCTTATCTAGATCGTCATCATGGCTTTATCCGTTTTTCTAAAGCCCTCGGCAACATTCCCATTTAGCCATGTCAACAACAGCCTTTTTCAAGACACAACGTTCATGGCATAGCTTACAGATATGAGTGAAACAACAAGTTAATAATTAATCCTCTATGCTTGGAGACATTTGATGTTTCAAACTGTAGTTTGCTTTCAGTAACTGCAATGATGTTAAACCAAAGAAAAAAGTTGCTTTTTGCGTTTTATCTAGAAGATTAAGGTTATATATTAAGAATATTAATTGAGATTTTTATTCCACATCCGCAGCTGAGACTATTCTCATGGCACGAGCGGTTTAAAGGGTTCATTTTTTAAAAATAGTCCAGACTGAATAGTCAATATATATATATACCTACATGATATTAATACATAATATGTATAAAGTAAGATCCTAAAAGGTTATGGTAAAATCGTATAACAGCCTGTAATCTTTAAACAAAATAACTTCCCTCAGATTTCTCATCTCTGATGATGACGTGTTTACTGGCGCGAGGGCGGGGCAACCTGTCACTCACATGAGATCCACCAATAGCAGACCACATCCAATGTATTCCTCACAGTCAAAATCAAATGACAACAAAAATGACATTCATTGCAGGAATCTATTTATGGCAGAAACGCGATACATATCTATTTAAAAACACCATTGCTTCAGAAATGTTCATTTTATCAACACTAATCTGCACTCGTCCAATCTAATCCAATATTCTCAGTTCTCAATGCAACATTAACTAACTTAACTTGCTAGAAAAATAACATGTTTATTTTCACTGAATGACCGTTAGCTAAGTTAGCGTTCAGTGCTCTGTGTCAGTTCTCTACCTAGACAGCATTTCTAGGCGGGTTGGAACACGTCCATTCGCCACTAGACACGCAGTCTATGTGGGACACACACGACATTAGAGACACAGCCCGGGTCTGAACTTTAGCACAACGCTAGTAACACAGTCACACACACACACATGTTGACTTACATCAGATCCAGCTCCGCGGATCCAGACAGATAAGCATGTGCTCGCGTGCTGAACTGGCTAGATTTATATCAGAAAGATCCCGATCGAGTGTGTGTGAGGTGTGTGTGTGTGAGAGAGACTGCAGTGCGAGTGTCCTCCACCTGCCCTGGAGCGCAGGAGATGTTTGAAGCGCACCTCCGCTCCTCAACATAAACAAGCACGACACTCATTGGCCAGCCGGTTGTCAGGCAACCAGCACCTCGCCATTTCATTGGCTGGATTATCTGTCCTACCTGCCTGTCATAGAAATATACACTAGACCTCACCTTGGGGTTCTAAGCATGCGTCAAAACTGCCGCCATCTTGGAACAGGGGTCTTGTCATAGGAAGTAGCTAGGTAACGCTGTTATCTCTGCCTTTACGTCGAATTCATTGATGGTGGCGGACTTTTGTGCAGCGTATGAAGTTCACGGATGAAATCTGAACTAGAAAGAATGTTTAAAAAAAAATAAAAATAAAAAATCTCTGGAATCAATGATAAATACATGTCTGACCGTTGGAACAAACCAAAAAAACAAGAAAAATCGCATTCATGATGATTATATATATATATATATATATATATATATATATATATATATATATATATATATATATATATATATGTAAATAATAAAAAATAAATCTCAAAAATACAAGACCTTTGTGTCAATCAAATATTTTGAAGACAGTATCACAAACGAAAACTTACACTTATGGATGTGAAATGTGACTAATAAAATTAACAGATTAATAACAAGCGTCTCCTTAATCACACCGTTCAAAATACAAAACAAAATTAAAGACCTTTTCCTGAATAAACACGACACGCAACAGGTGTTCAATTGTGTGCCGACAGGGAACTAATGTACGAAGAATACATAATAAAACAGAATAATAATAATATACAAAAGTGCATATTTTAATATTTATATGTTTTCAAGTAGCCTACAATGATTCATCAATGTATTTATTTACATTTGCATGTAGCCTACCTTTTCATTTATTATTTAATTCACTCTTCTGTTGTTAATTTATTAATTATAAAATAAATAAAGATGAATTTATCCAACAAATATTGTTCAAATATTTAGGATGACTTTCAATTTCAGGAAAGAAAACATTAGTTGTTTTATGTTGTGCACTCATAAATTATGGACCAGCAGTGATATAATTCAAAAAGACAAAATGTGTTGCTATGAATAAAACACAGGCATGTTTATTTGGAAATAAATCTGTACTCATAAATCACTGCATTGTGTCTGTAGTCATAAACAGAGGGAGAAATATTTCACACAGCCTTAATGAAGTGACACACACAATTGCTTTCTCTCACCATACGCTCATGTTGTAAGCTTTTTTATTACGGTGTTTATCCTAAAGAGTTTGCTCTTTTAATGTCATTGTCTCGAGCGCTGTAGGACGTCCCATAGGAAACACAGGAACGCGTTTTGAATCCCCCTCCCCCATCTAATAAGTGTGTCCCCCCAGGGCCTCCATACACCGCACGCTGAGTCTAGTGAGGATCAGACACAGGTTTGCAGGAGTTTTCCTTTGTTTGCATATTGTTTACACAACATATAAGCTTCTTCATCGATAAATGGTCTCCATCCAGCCACATATATAACTTACATTTACGTCAGTGGATCACAAACCTTAAAATAGAGAAAATAAAGCTATTCAATACAGTGAAAGTGATGTGATGTATTATACTGACATCTACTGGCTCTTTAGAGGAACACATTTACACAGATCCCAGCTAAATGTTTAGATGCCGTGAGGTTTTAGCACTTGTTCTTGAAGAAAATGCCATTTAAAGTGAAAATGACTTGGGCTCCTGATCATGGGCTCCACCCCGCTGAACAAAACAGCTTTAAAATGAATTAAAAATTCTATAAAATGCTTCCTTGGGTCAAGAAAACACTTCTGCGCATGCGTTCTTAACCTCATAGAGATGTAAGTGTGCAAACAGTGCAATAAATAAATATGACAACAAGACATTATGCATAACAGGATTTATTGGCACGTAACACACCCTAAATAACAAAATTGGGACAGCCTTAGAAGTGAATCAGAAGTGTTGTAAACTTCATGTAAATGAACAGTGAATTTTAATACAGCAAATATTTCCAGTGCACAATATCTCACCTCAAAATACATTAAAAATCAGCAGACAGGAGTATATTAAAGGAGTAGTTCACTTTAAAAAAAAACTTTTGCTGATAATTTATTCACCCCCATGTCATCCAAGATGTCCATGTCTTTCTTTCTTCAGTCGAAAAGAAATTAATTTGATGAAAACATTCCAGGATTTTCTCCAGAAATTTTGATGAAAACATTCCAGGATTTTCTCCATATAATGGACTTCAATGGGAACCAAACGGTTCAAGGTCCAAAAGACAGTTTCAGTGCAAACTGTTCAAAGGGCTTTAAACGACACCAGACGATGAATAAGGGTCTTATCAAAATGAACAAACCTTTTCCCGAATCAATTCGTTCATTTCGTACGTTGAATGAACCAAATGACTCTGAAAAAGATTCGTTCATTTTGATGAACAGTAGAGTCACGAACGCGCATCACAGAACAGAGCAAGGCGAGCATTTGAGCTTATAAAACTTAAAGACATGGACATCTTGGATGAAATGGGGTTGAGTAAATTATCAGCAAAAGTTTTTTGAAAAGTCTACTTTAAGTGCTGTTTACTTTCTCCACAAAAGCAGTTATCCGGTGTAGGCTACCGAAGCCTCTCCGTCGACGTTTTATAGCACTTTAAGCAATAAAGATGGATTCATAGCAGAATCAGATCAGAAAATAATGATCAATGATGCAAACTGCAACAATAGTGTCTTTATTCATCCTAGGTCAGTTCTGTTGATTCGGTTGAGTAAATGTGGAAATAAGCAGCTCTAGTGACTGAGTCAGTTCATTTACAGATGTAGATGGTGATCGGTTTTTTTGTGTGTGTGGACCTGGAAAAGTGAAGGTAATGACAGCAAACGATTCTCAGGTCTTACACACCAACATACTATAGATCCAGGCAGATTAGTGATACTTCATTGGATTTGATTCTTTTCACCTGAGGTAACGTTGTATTTTTATCATTTTCATGTATGCCCATCTTTGGGAACCAAATATAATACATTCTACATAGTATAAAAACACATGAGTCATCTTATTATATTACATCGAAAAAGCTCTTGGCTCTCAATCTTCCACCCTTCCGTGTGGATAACGCGAGTCTTCTGGTGAGCGCGCGTCAGGAGCAGCAGAGACCGGGAGCGCACGCGCCGCACGAGGAGGAGGTGGAGGAGGAGGAGTATTCTTCATCCATCATGTACTTCCCCGAGTCCGGTGTGTCCCGACACTCAGCGACGAACGCCTGCAGCTCTGACAGCGGTTCTCCTCGCGTCTGGTGGTGCTGTGGTTAAAGACAGAGAAGTGATGATGGAGATTAGCATGGTTAGCATCACAGCAGTCAGTGTTTGTTTGGGACTGAACAGATTCTGCTACTGTGTGAACTAGCCTGTTTCCCTTTACCTCGGGACAGAGCAAACGCTGACAGGATTGTTCCCGTTCGCGTGGATATGCGGAAGTGATATTCCTGTATGGGCTCTATGCACGCCGGTATTTCCGGTGAATGTGTAAGGATGCTCGATAACTTCCGCCGATCGTAGAGTCCAATGCAATACCGAGAATTTATATTGAATTTTATACTCCATGGTTATACTAAAGAAACGTTAGTCACAAAAACAGATAAAACAGACACCCCTCGTTGTGTTTATGCTTCTTTTTAAAATTATATTAAATAAACATAACTATATACAAAATTACATCAAAACGTATGTACGTTTCGTTTCAAAGACGGGAGGACGGTACATTTTTAAGACTCTGCCATAATCCCGTTTTCCTCGGTTTTCCTCCGCTTTAATCTCCACAACCAGAAATGGACTACCATTACACATTTTTTAAGGGGCTTGTAACATCTCAAGCTGCCACAGTTTTGTGCAAATGAGCGTCCGGATCGCATTAAAGCTACACTGTGTGAGATTTTCTCCCATCTAGTGGTGAAATTGTATGATTACCAACTGAATATTACTTCCCAGATAGCAAACTGACATTGAATCAACGTGGAAATATGACATCGAAACAACGTTGATCTGACATTGTTTTGCTCATCGAATTAACGTTGAACCAACGTCAGGCGCGTCATTCTTTCAAAACTAACGGAAAATCAACTTGAAATCAACGCGTTTCAACGTTATGAAAGCAAACCAATTTTCGATTTTCATTTACCTTTGAAGAATGCCGCGTCTGACGTTGGTTCAACGTTAATTCGATGAGCAAAATCAACGTTGTTTCAATGTCATGAGAGACGTCATTTCCACGTTGATTCAATGTCAGTTTGCTGTCTGGGTTTCTACTCTTTTAACTCCTATGGTAGCTGTATTATTCACAGATTAACATGGCTTCGTCCATGAGTGTTCCTTAAAGCACTTTAATGAGGTTACTTTAGTAAACTATTATAAATTGCATTTAGTTATTTACTCAGTTAACATGTAGGTTATGAGCTCTATTTCCACCAAAGGCATTTAGAAAGACCAGAACCGTTTTTTACCACGTCATGCTTACGTAGGGGGCGGGGCTGTTGTGACCAGCAACACGGCGGGAATGGGAAAGCTAAGACGTATGGCGACATACCAACCCGATCTCACAGGAATTCGTACGAATTTTACGAGGTGGCTAATTCGTAACAATTTGTACGACCTCACTCGTACGAATTAGTACAATTTTGCTAAATTGTGCATATTTTACGAATTAGCCAATTCGTACGAATGACCTACCCCTGACCCCGCCCCTAAACATAACCGTCACGTGGGTTTAGACAAATCGTACGAATTCGTACGAGTGAGGTCGTATGAATTAGTACGAATTAGCCACTTTTGAATCACTCGTACAAATTGGTCGTGAGATAGCGTAGGACATACACAGTGACGTAACGACGTCAGTGGAAAAACAAACCGGTTGCGAGAAAGTTAGCTAGTCGAACCAACTTTGAACCGGCACCAGTTCCAAACCACTTCTTATTTGGTGGAAACGAGGAATATGTAAAACGAATAATAGTTTTACGTTTTCGTTATTTTGGTACCATTTCATTGCTAACATTAGCTATCAGCTTCCCAAACGAATGCAAGCTAACTATTAAA